TGCAGGCTCTGCAGGCGTCAGTCCTGAGACTCGGTTTTGTTTGGTTTCAAAACGTTTCTTGGTGGAAGCCACGCCCTCCTTGCCATGTTGGCTTGAGGGACGCTTAAAGTTTTACATTTCAAGATCCATGGGGGCTGGGCTGGGTTCTGGAGAGAAGACCCTAGAGCAGTAACCAAAAAATGTTTTAATAAGGTCCTTTTGGGCGCTCTCTGAGAGATGCGATTTATGTCTATGAATTGGAAAATACACGGAAAACGGGGAGGGGTGCGGTAGGGAAAAGCGGGGGGGGGGCAAATATTTTGTAAAATTTGTAATAAGAAAAAGTAAAAGTTTATGATTTAAACAAAAAGTGCATTATTTCCCAATATTGATTTTTTCCTCTGCAGTCAACTCTGGGGAGTGGGGCAGATTAGCGTTCCGGAAGCTGAACACCTCGAGCATGCCTTGCGCTCACACTCCCTGCAGCAAGCTGGAGCCTTGCGCTCACACTCCCTGCAGCAAGCTGGAGCCGGGGCTATGCAGAGGCTCCCCGAAACCGGCACCTGGAGCTTCACTCAGTCCCTTTTGGGGATCCCAGAGGGGCCGCAGTGAGCCGGCAGGGCCGGGGGTCCCCCAACAGTTCGGCGGTCCAGATGCGGGGACTCTGCTGGCCTCTTTGAAAACCTGCTGGGCGCGAGTCTTATGACAAGTTCTTCTCTTTCACTCCACGAACCATCTTTTCCAAGCCAGTGTCTGCACATCGTCCTCTCCACGTTGGGCTGTCGCTCAGTCCGGGAGCCCTAAGAGAGGAAAACTTCTGTCTACTGGAGAGGACGGGGTGGGGGCTAGCAGGCCAACAGAACACTGAGGCCAAGCAGGTGGGTCTAGGCTTGAGGGTCGTGACTTTTGTGCTAGGTATACCAGGCTGCATCTGGAGTCCTGTCCCCTCAGCTCCAAGGCACGGAGAAAGGCCTGTTAGAAAAGTTTAAGGCTGAGCAGAAAGAAATTCTCCAGTGACTTCTTTGCGTTGGGCTGTGTGTGCACCCTGGACACTCAAAGAGGAGCAACACGAAGCCACCACCTTCCAGAAACTCGAAGTCTGACGGCCTTCACGGGCTGTGACAGGGCTCCATGTGAGGCTGAGAAAGAGGGCCTGAGATGGAGAGGGTGTGAGAGGGAGAACACAGAAAGGGGTTTTAGCCCAGGTCAGGAATCAAAGAAGACTCCCTGGGGGAGGTGAAACCTTGAAAGAGACCCGAGATACGCAAAACGAGGTGGAACTCTCCCTAGAAAGGCACAGAGCCAAAGATAGGAAGGCTCTTTTTGAACCTTGTTGGGGCGCCAGAGGAGAGGGGACAGGGCAAGAAGTGGATTGGGTTTTGACTGCTGAGGACTCCCCTTCCTTTCACGCGAACGACGACGGTTCTCAGAGCGAATCCATGCTGCTCTGTGATCCAGACAACAAGCTTAGGCTGGCATGCGGCGTGCCTTGAGTAACCGCGCTGCGCAAAGACGCGCGTACAGAGGACGTGCGCGCTAAGGACGCGCGCGTGGATTCTCTAGGCAAAGGCGCAAGCAGAAAAGGCACCTCCCAGGGAAGTCTCCAGCCCTGGAGTGGTGTTCGACCTTCTGCCCGAACTCCAGACTGAGGATAAAGCAGGAGGCGCGTTTAGGTGACCTCTGTCCCAAGACCTGTTCTGGTGGGGACCAAAATTGCTGGTTCTCCCAGGGGCCACCTCTCCAGGACATTTAACCCCGAATCTAAGCCTAGCAGGGAGGCAGAGCTCAGAGGAACAAAGCAGCCAAAAGGTAAAGACATAGGCTTAGACAGCATCAGGCCAGGCCCGGGGATCTGGGGAACTCTTGCTCCAGGGCCAAAGCTAAGAAGTCTTGAATAAACCAGTGGCCAACCAGTACTGTGCAAGGAGTGTACGAGGCAGCGTTGTCCGCCTAGGAGACCCCGCGATGCCGAGTGGGGATCGTGCGCTCCTCGATCCTGAGTTCCCTAGCAGCGCGAAGTTCAAGTCTCAAGGCCAAGATGAGTAGCAGGATGCTGTCTCCTGCCAGAGTCAGTGCAGTGTGACCCAGACAGCCTGGGGCTTCGAATTCTGGGTGGTCAGTGGCTCCCTGCCCACAAATTGCCAGCCTGCCAGTGCACGCCCTTTGTAATAATCCTGCAGACTCTTGGATTTCGAGCTGCGCTCTGAGCGCAAGATGTTTAAAGAGCAACGCGGACAAGAGGAGAAGGTAGAGATATGAGGACTGAAGAAGAGGGTGAGCCTGCCCCGAGCTGCCTCGTCGCAAAAGGACTGAGTTGGCCTGGAGGCTGGAAAGAGAGAAAGGGTCTACGACCCGCTGCCAGATCCCCTCCTTAAGCAGTTTTCAAGGTGTTGGTTTGCATTAACAGAAACCTCTAGGTGTGGTTTTGGTGTCCCCTGAGGGTTCCGGAGTGAGATTTGGCGGGAACCGCTGGACCCTGTACCTCTCTGCAGATGTGAATGTTTCTGTTATTCCTTTGCCAAACCGTCGAGATCGTCCAGTGGGACTCAAATGGCCTGGCCCCTGGACCTCGGATCCCTGGCGGACCCTGAGCACAGCGGTCAGTCCACTGGCTGGTCCAATCTGAGTTGGAGTTGTCTGTCGCTCTTGGAAGCCCTCCGGGAGGGAACTGGGCTGAAAAGGGCTTCTACTTGCTGGTACCTCAAGCTAAATGAAACCTCTTGAAGAGAAAACAGGGGTAGAGGGCAGGGTTAACGCCAGGGCTGGGGCTGAGAGAAGTGTGAAGAATGTGCACCTGCTCGCGAGCCCACGCGGAGGTGGCCCTCCAGGCGCGAGGTATACTCTCAGAGAAGCCAGGTCTCAAGCCAGAGCCTAAGTGAATCAAGAGCAGGCTTGAGAGTCAGTCCTCCAGTGCAGTTTATTCGTATGGCAGGTTTCGATGGCTACCGTAGTCTAGTCGAGGGTCCCGCGGTTAGCTTAAGCATTATCTAATCCTCAAACGTGGGGGGGGGGGGGGGAAGGGGAAGCAAGGTTTCAAATTCTGCACACTGGCCATCACTGCTAATAGTGGAGTCACTTTTGGCAAACTACGTAGCCTTCTCAAACTCAGTTTCCTAATCTGTAAAATGGGCATAATGTCCATCTCTCCAAAGAGCGCGCCGAGGATGAAAACTGCCCGCATCTCTCTAATCGTAGAAGCAAAACCAAAGCCTTGACAAACTACAGTTCTAAAGAAAGAACCTCTCTCTCCCTGCCTCCTCGTTCTCTGCTTACCTCCCCCACCCCCAACCGGCCTAAGCCAGCGGAGCCGCGCGCCTTTCTGGTCGGTCCTCCCGAGAGAGGCTGGTGCAAAAGCCAATAAGCCTGGAACACACGCAGGTCCTGCTGGGCCTGGGACAATGGTTTCCATTTAATAAATATTTCCCCCAAGGGCATTTCAAATCGGGCAGGCAATTATTCAAAGGAAACGGGCGCGCAGTTTGGCTCCGCGGGTTATTTCGTCCTCTTTACCCGAAGAATGCTCATCTGACGCAAGAAACGAGTCTCCCTTTTCTCTGGATGGGAAGAGGCGCCCCGGGACAAACCGACCCTGGGTGTGGATACAGCCTGAGACTCCGCTCTAGGGGGTCTCTGCTGAAACGGCAGAGGGGAAAACCACTCGCCCGCCGCGCCGGCCGACCTTCAGATTGCACTTCCCCCAGGTTTGGACAGATGTGGAGGGAAAGCTGGAGGTTTAAATACACTAAACAATAATAACATAAATAGGAATCGTGATGGAAATCCCATCCCTCGCCCCCTCCACGAAACTGAAGAGCGGATCGCGGTGGTGCTCTTCGAGGCTCACCAACCAGGGTTTGAAAACTGCGCCGCCGGAGGCAAGGCCTTCGGGCATCGGCTTGGAACGCACGGCTGAGCTCGCCCGGGCGCGGCCGAATCCCGGGGCAGGGTGGAGACGGAGCCGCACCGGCGTCCGGTGAGAATGCCGCCAAAGGAGCGCCCAGGGCACTGCGCGAAAAGTTTATTTCGCTTTTTAACCTGAGTTTGATATATTCTTTTTCGTTTCCAAGGATCTTTGACGGGGCGGGGGTGGGGGTGGTGCTGTCCTTGCATTTCGTGGCGAGGCTGTCCTATTTATCAACACGCGCTCTCAGCTTGCTCCCTCTGCTGTCCCCTCCCCGGGTCTTTGTATTCGAAGCCCTATTTCTCCTTTGCACAACCGGGAAAGGAAATGGGCACGAAGAGTTTTATTTGTTGACACTGCCAGAAACAAGGTGGAATCCAAATCTGGCGTCCGGAGTCGGCCGCTGGGTTCTCTGGCTCTCCGGGTCTCTCGCTCACACCTCTCCCCGCCCCCAGCAGTCACGCTCCCTCTTTCCTAGGCTGGCGCGCTAGCAGGTGCGCCCCCTCGCCTTCTCTGCTGCTGATTGGCGCCCAGGTTGGGGAGTCGCCGCCCCGCGCTTATGTCAGAGTGCGTGCCGTCCGGGCCCACCTCGCCTTTGAACTTCGCCGCTTTTGGCTCGCGTTCACCAGCCTCCCCGCATTCTCAGCCAGGTGCTGCGCTAGGCGAGGCAGCTCCGGGAAAGCCACGGGCGGGGGGGGGGGAGGGAAGCCACGGCCGTAGACACAGGAGAGAAGAGAACCCGAGAAGGCGAAGGTGGAGAGGGGGAGAAGGAGGAGCTTCCTGCCCTCGCCAGCAAATTACCTGGTCACTTAATCCCAGAGACTCCCGTACTTGGGCCCCAGCCTCTGGCACCGACAGCCCCCCAGCCGGCCACCCTCTCCTCCCCCCGTCCTTCCTGCCCCTGCTCGCCCCCCGGGGCCTGCCTGGGTGCAGAGACTGGCATGATCAGCTGAACTTTGCGGGGTTAGCGCTTCTCTCTGGCTTCCCCTCTGCGGTGCGGAGGCGAGGGGAGCGCAGAGCCCCGGCTCAGTACGGACAGACAGGCAGACCGACCACAGCGTCCAGGCTCGCCTGCCGAGCCGCTGCACTCCCCACTCCAACCCGCCTAGCCTCTGGGACCATGTCCAAACCTTCAGACCACATCAAGCGACCCATGAACGCCTTCATGGTATGGTCCCGAGGCCAGCGGCGCAAGATGGCCCAGGAAAACCCCAAGATGCACAACTCAGAGATCAGCAAACGCCTAGGCGCCGAGTGGAAGCTTCTGTCCGAGGCAGAGAAGCGGCCGTACATCGATGAGGCCAAGAGGCTACGCGCCCAGCACATGAAGGAGCACCCTGACTACAAGTACCGGCCGCGGCGCAAGCCCAAGAACCTGCTGAAGAAGGACAGGTATGTCTTTCCCCTGCCCTACCTGGGCGACACGGACCCGCTCAAGGCGGCCGGCCTGCCCGTGGGGGCCTCCGACGGCCTCCTGAGCGCGCCCGAGAAAGCCCGGGCCTTCTTGCCGCCCGCCTCGGCGCCCTACTCCCTGCTGGACCCCGCGCAGTTTAGCTCGAGCGCCATCCAGAAGATGGGTGAAGTGCCCCACACCTTGGCCACCGGCGCGCTGCCCTACGCGTCCACCCTGGGCTACCAGAACGGCGCTTTCGGCAGCCTCAGCTGCCCCAGCCAGCACACGCACACGCACCCGTCCCCCACCAACCCGGGCTACGTGGTGCCCTGTAACTGTACCGCCTGGTCTGCCTCCACCCTGCAGCCCCCCGTCGCCTACATCCTCTTCCCGGGCATGACCAAGACTGGCATAGACCCCTATTCGTCAGCCCACGCCACAGCCATGTAACCCCCATCCCGGCCTGCCAGACCTGGAGGGCGGCCTGGAAGCGGGGTCTGCACCCTGTCCTCTGCGCCTAGCCGGGGCCTGCAGATGCCCCCTACCCTACCCCAGACTCTGCCTCTCTCTCTTGCACGGGAATGGTAGGGGCGTCCCGCTGGACCCAAGGCGCAGACAGGTGCCAGAAACTTGTGAACGGTTATGACAGCTATACAGCTGCCCCTACCGCAACAGTCCCAAAACGAACCTCTGACTGTGCCCTCTTTGGACAAAAAAAAGTAGGCAGTTTTGCTATATTTATGTCCCCTTCTCTTTACTCTGATGGGCTTTGGACTCCAGAACTCCCAGATCCTGGTATTATATCTAGAATATGCATAATTTTTTTTTGTTTTGCACCCTGAAGAAATAGCTGTCTCTTGTGTTTTGCCATCAGACACAACTAGGTGCCATTTGCTCTTCATGTGTGGGGGGAAAGGCTTAAAAGTTTAAAACCACAGAAAGGAAAACATTTCTATTTAAAATCATGCTATGATAGTGTTTGCTTCTTTAAAAGGTAAAACAAAAGGACCCACATGGTTATTTACTTTGTATAAAGCAGTGCTCCTAGAGACCTAAGTTTACTTTTAGACAGAATGTCAGGTTATAAAGTCAGGAAGTAGAAAGTGAACAAAAATTAAAAAAAAATAAAAACATCCTCAATGGTCATAAATGTTTTGACAATGTCTTGGAAATGTATCTAGAAGGATTTCACCTCCTTACTCTGTTCATTTGTTGAACAAAGATGTTTTGAATAAAGACAATCTGTCATTGCAAAAAGTAACCTTTGATGTGCATAAAATCTGAAGCGGAGAGGCAAGGTCTTCGGGGAGCTGGGTGTACACAGAGTGTACACAGAGGCAGAGTGTACACAGAGCGACTCAGCAGTGGCGCTGGCAGCTGGCCTGTGTGGGCTGAGCCTGATGGCCCTTGGGTCGGGTGCCTAGGGGCCCAGAGTCTAGGGTTTGTCCCTATCATGCCCTCTGGATCCACTTTTTGCCTTTAGAGGCTGGACAAAGTTATCTGCTCCTGGGACTTCACTCCTTCCTTGCATTTTTCACAAAGTGGTCAGACCACTTGGAGGAGCAAATGAACTAAGACAAAGGCCGACCTAGACTTCTGAAATTTGAGTGCATTTTCTTCTTTTAAACCAACTCCAAAGGAATGGAAAGAAGCAAAGAGTCTATAGGGAACCAATTGCCCGCAGAGTGCCATGTCCTGCGGTGGGTGTTTAAGTTCAATGCCAGGGAAAGAGAAGTGGAATGGGGTTTTTGTTTGTTTGTTTGTTTAAATAAGTTGTCTGAAAACACTGTTGCTAGGTCTTCTGGGGGTTGGGGGTTCGATACTGGTTTCTATGTTAAAATATAAAAGTCTAAGAAACATTGAAAAACATGTGGTAGTTTCCTACACTTGACTGTGGGAGACTTTTTGCTAAGACCCTGCAGATGGGAAAAGGCAGGCGATAGTGACACAGCTCCCACAAGGAATTTTTTAAAACATCATAAAAATTAAATAACTCATAGCCCTTTGTGTTTATTAAGGAAGCGAAATGGCCTTTTTCTTATCCCTGGTGGGTGAATGTTAGCTTGAAGATTGCTCTGGTTTTCACAGGGAGAAAGGACCGTCTGATTCCTTCCAGAACTACTCTTTGGAACTTGTTCTCAAAATCGAAGGGTGCCCCCCTAATCCTTGTCGTCCCACCCCCCGCCCCCAGTCTCATCCCCACAGCCGAGCTCACCAGTATTTTTGAGGTCGGTTGCTTTTCTCACTGGCTTTGATAAGTTGCGGGGTCGAAGAGGGGTGGGGCGAAGCCGGGGGCAGCCTAGCGGCTGGGCTGCTTTCTGCTGCTGTTGAGGGATTTGTGCCCAGACGCGGCTGTTTCCAGAGTCGGTGGCTGCAAGTGCGCTGAAACGTTGTCAACAGACACCAAAGCCGAAAACCACGGATTAGCATATTGTCCTCAAAACAATTAGAAGTGTTTGAGGTGTTATTTGGAGCCTATTCATCTGAGCCCCTTTGTCAAAGGGGGATTTTCATTATTTAAAAAAAAAAAAGTTAGCAGTTGTCCATCTGGCTGAGCTGAATAGCAAAGTGATCCGTGTTGTATATGCTTTTCTCATTAAGAGCTCTTTTGAGACCGATGTTAGAATTAAATGGTATAACACAATTAACATACACGGGCGCTGAATAGGAGGGGACGCCTATAAATAATAGATAGATAAATAAATGAGCGATCAGGCGAAGGTAAACAAAGGCGGCCTGGGAGGGGGGGGGCGGGGGCGGGGGAAGGCCGGGCGGGCTGCGCCACGCTTACTTAGCATCACAAAACCCTCTTACAAATCGAGACAATTAGGAAGTGACTTGCCTCTGGTGGCCGTCCGGTCTGGGGGCTCCGGGCGCTTAGGGGAAGCCCCTCCTCCCTCCCCCTAGAAAGCCCAGGAGGCCCAGGGCTGAGGCTTCGCCGTTTCGCTATGATATAACCTCAACTGACAGTCCTGTCAACCGCTCTGATCTCCCTCATAGCTCAGTGTCCCTTAACATCTTCTAAGATGGAGCTTACAGGGGTCTGGGTGTCTCCTCGCAGAGCCCGGCGCACCAGCACCCTAGGTCCACAGAGAACCCCAGGCAGAGGAGGAACCCGACGCACCGGCCAGCCGGCCGGCCCAGCCGACTTCCAGGCGGGGTTAGGCTGGGAAGGGGCACCAGGTGGGTCCGAGTGTGGAAAGCTTCAGGAGGCGGCAGTTGGAAAACTGAAACTCGGGTTCCAGACTGAGCCGGCCCTGGGGACTCGGAAAGAAGCTCCAGGAAACTGGGATGCGCCGTGGCTCCGAGGCGCCGGTGCGCGGGCGGCTGGGTAGCCGAGGCTTCTTTCCAGCCAGGAGGGAGCAGGGGGCCCAGCGCAGGTCCTGGGACCTAAAGCCGCAGACCTAGCTCCGGCTGTTTCTGCATATCACACCTCCTCTCTATCCCGGGTTGTTGGATAGACATAGCTGTCTGCGCTCCTGGGGCCTGGCCCCAGAAGGGACCTGCCTGAGCTCGGTCTCCCACGCCCCGCGGGCCGCCGAGCCTCCACCGAGGTGCGCGGCCGGGACTCGCCCCAACGAACCGCCCAAATCCTCCCCGTCAAGCCGCTGACGGGCCGATTACTGACTTTGAAGTCAGACGCAGACAAAAAGAAATCCCCTGGGGGTGGCGGCGGGGGGGGTGGGTGGGGGGAGCAGTCCCTGTCAAACCTGTTTGCTCACAACTGTCTCTTTCTTTCAAGAAAATCATTAAAGCAAACCTGTAGGGAGAGCAGTGCCCCGCCCGCCGGAGTCGAGGAGAGCCGCTTCTCTCGAGCGCGCGACGCGCAAAGAGCCACCAGGAGTTCTTTCGGCCAGACTGCTTGGTCTGGAGAATGAGCGCTCCCTCAGCGCGCCGGGCGCCCAAGACTCTGCAGAAGGCCACTCCATCGACCCCTGCGCGCTTGGCGCGCGTCCCACGGCCCGAGAGCCCGGGACTTCTGCCCGCCATTCTGGCCTCCTTCGGGCAGGCTATGCAAGGCAGACCCGGGCCTCTCGCCTGCGGGTGCGATTGCTTCCAGGGAACAACCACAACAAAAAATGACCCAATAGAAGCTGCGCTTGCCCCTGCCTTTCCTCTTCTGGGCTTTTTCTAGGAGCGCAGAAACCTGGCCAACAGACCGCTCCGGAAGGCAGAGGGCGCGGCAAAGGCAGAGTTGTTTGGCTGTTAGGTTTTCTTTCTTAAACCTTGGCAGCCGTTTGGTTCAAGGACACACTGGCCACATTCTTCTGGGAGATGCAGGATGGTTGGATCCCCTCCGCCCCTGACTTCTCCTGGAGACCCTCTGCAGCTTTTCTTGCCCTTCCCCAGTTTTGGATCCTACTCCAAACACCTTTGATACCCTTCCAGTTTCTTATTTAAATATCAATTTCCTTAGAACTGCTAACTTCATTGATAGGAAAGATCTGATACTTAAGAGTAAGACGTACTGAGGTGGTAGTGGCTGGGTTCTGAGACCCCTTAATATTTGCATTTTAAAACAGGATCTAGATAACCTCCAGGAATCTCTCCAGTCATCTAAAACGGGGTGATATTTCAGGCAGGGTAGGGCCTAGAGGACTTTCATTACATCATCCAGAGAACTCTCTCTAGCGCGGGCAGCTTCTTTGGAGAGATCCCAGACTGCCAAGGCCCAGGAAACTTGGAGAGCGGTGGCGCCAGGACTGCCCTGGAGGACTCGTTTGCTTGTTTGTTTGTTTGTTTGTTTGTTTCGGCTCTTCCCCAGCTCAGGCCTTGCCACCATTGTTCAAGCGGACAATGGATTTCAAGTCATTTGAATTTGAATATCCGGTAACTCACAAGATTCCTGTTAAGAACTCTCATCTTTTTACTGGGCTCACTGTACCTGTGTAGAAGTGTTAAAAGAGGAAGACAGAGGCAGAGGGGCCCACTAAATTTGGGTTCAGGAGACACTGGGACCGGTGCTTCCCGCCTCCACCGAGGGGCGCGCGCACCTAGGCTGTGGCCCTGCCCTGGCCTCGGAGACCTCGCAGACCCAGAAGCACTACTTGGGCTGATTTCTTTCTTGGCGCTATGGGATGAGACTTGTCTTGGAGCCAGAAACGCTAGTGCAGGGCCGCCGCAGAGTAATGAAGAAACAAAGTTATGTTGGGGGAGGGTGTGGGCCGCTAGAAATCCTGGGGCGTCCACACCAAACCCGAGACTTGCGGTCACCTTGCCTGAATCTCGGCTCTGTGCGCGCCTGGGGCCGGCAGCTTGGTAGTGTCCGCCGTGGCAGTGGGAGGGGACCGAAGGAGAAAAGAGGGAGCTTCCACACCCCGTTCTCGTCCAGCCCCCTGACCTGCGTCCAGCGGAGCGTCACTCGTGAACTCCTCACCTGTCCCTGGGGCCCGGGTGTGACTTGCGCTCTCGGAAAGCGGGAAGAGCCCCAGGCTCGGGGCGTTCTTGGGCAGCCTCCCTGATTCTCCGCCCTCTCTGCTCGCATCTCTGCTCTGGGCATCCTCTCTGACCCCTCAAAGGCCCCAAGAGTTTGGTACGAGTTGGGAAAGGGAGCAGGTGCCTAGGCCGGATAGAGACCAAAAGGAGTCCACGAGCTTCCTCTTTGCTGCCAAGTGGACGAGTTGCGCTACTCTGGCAGCCGGTGGCCGTTTCCAAACTTTTTCACTCTTGGGCTGGGAGAAGCAATGCATTCGGGATCCCCGCTTTCGAGGCAGGCACTGAAGGGACTTCGGAAAACTCTGCCGGCCTGCCGGGTTCCACTCGGCCTGAAATTGGGAGGCGACCCCACGGGCGCTTGCGGGACGATCCACCGCACTTGAGTGCAGGTCCTCCTTGCACCTCCAGGCCTCCGCGCCGCCCGCTGCTCCCTGCCTCTCCTAGGTGTTTCAGGGTCGGGCCGCACCTCGGAGCCCCGAGGCTCTGCGGGTGCTAATAGGCGGTGAGAAGGAGGGGAGGTGGATGTGAGGCGCGAGCCTGGTGCCGCGGGAGAGCTGGCACGGCGCACCCTCCTAGCTGGCAGAGGGCGGAGATCTCGGAGTCCCGAGTGTCGCTTAGCTGCTCCCGACTTCCTGCTGCCGGGCCAAGCCCCCGCGGGCTCTCCGGGCGCCCCGCCCGGGGACCGAGGGAGGAGGGAGGGGAGAGGGAGGGAGCCGGCGGCCGAGGCGCACGCCTCCAGTCCGCGTTAGCCCGGCACCCCCGTGGCGCGGCGAGTCAATGGGATTTGCACACTCGAGGTGTAACAGCATTACTGCATTAATTACCATTTCCATTTCACGTCCAGATTGTTTACTTATCTGCGGGAAACATATGTCGGGAGAAGTTCACATTCCGGATTCTGCTCCGCTGCCCAAGGTGCAATTCCGGGGAGGCGGCGAGGGGGAGGGGAGGGCTTCAGATTTTTTATTACACCCTCTAGCCTTATCTGCCGCTGTAAATTATGAGGATCCTCCATTGAGCGGCATATGGAGATTATATACTTTTTTGAATATCGTTTCCCAAAGCCTGCAGATTTTCACTTTGAAATGAAACAATCCTCCGCCGGCTCCCCCGGGGTCTGGAACCTGCTGCGCTCCTCTGCGCGACCCGGGGGACCCTTTTTGCTGGGCCAGGCTCGCACCCTTGTCCCCAGTGCCGCGGCCAGCGCCCAGAGGAGCCCTGTTTCCAGAATCTGAAATAATTTCTCTAGGAAAACCCATTCGTACGAGTGTTCGAGGACCCACGCGGCGCTCTGCTCTGTTTTCTGCACCTCAACCCCGGACTTCTGCGTAGTTTGCAGCTTTTTCATTTCGGATACCCGCGTAGACGCGAGCCCACTTCTGCCCTCTTCCTACGCTGGGCGGCTCCAACCCCGAGGCGAGGGTCGAGGTGTCCACGCCCGCCCACTGCAGCCTCCCTTGCGCTCGAGCATTTAAAAGGTTCCCCAAGGCTTTGGTCTTGGGACAACACCGGCTTGAGACCGCTTCTTGTAAACTCCGAACGGAAATCCTGCGTTGAAGGCAACTGCTTCCCAGTCCCGGGAGAAGCAGGACAGACCACAGCAGCGCAACCGAATCCCATCTTTCTTATCTCCCCGAGACTCCTTTCAGGCTGAGATCAGAGAGGGAGGGAAAGGGAAGAGAGAATCATTGTTCTTCTTCTTTTTTTAATTTAATATACCAAGCCACCCGTTCAGGTCATTTATATGCTTAATTTAGTGATAAAAGTCAATAAGCGCAATCACAGGATTCTCTCCTCTTTCAGTTTCTTTTGACCACATTTTTTTTCACAGTAATTGGAAAACCAGTAAAACATATATGCCCCTGATTTCCACCCTCCTCCTTGTTCAATGCTTTATCTGAAATGCAATTGTAAGAAATGTGCTTTTGTAATTTGTTTGGTTTTTCTTTAGAACATAAGGGGGAAAATATATCTTTTATGTGGTTATTTTTTATCTTGTTTGGGTTCAATTTGCAGGATTACACACATCCCGTTTATAGACACCCACTCTCAGAAACAAAATCAGAAATTTCCTTGATTTTTATGATTCTAAATATTCCTTGGGAAGCCTATTGTGATGTTATAGCAGAAACAATTAAATGGACCAAAGTAATGCAATTAAGGGAGAGAAAAAAATAAGTCGGTAGAATGTGGAAATAAACAGATTCTTTTCCACTAAGTATTGTTTTGGGATTTCTAATTTTTTTCTTTGAGACTTCTAAGAAAATTGTGAGGTGTCACTTCTCTCTTCTGGATCTATCTGTAATTGAATCTAGGTCACTATTCTAAAGCAAGGAAAGTCTGCTTCCCACTTTCTTACATCAGGCTGAAATTTGGGGAGGGACAAGGGTCTTGCAATTTCATTTAAAATGTAATGGTGGATGAACTGATAAGCAAATAGGGAAAAAAGAGTCTGCTTAAAAGAGAAAAAAAGGGAGGGGGGGACATGGTTTTAATATGCTCCAGATGGGGGGAAAATGATTTACATGAGAGTTTATTTCCTCTTTGCTGATATGAAAGAATTACAGATACAAAACCCACTGATCTATAGAATAAAAAAAGAAAAGAAATGTTATTTTCCTGTAAAGGTGTCAGTTCATTTATATTCATTTAACCATCCATCCATCAATTCACTTTCTCACTCCTTGCACATTCTCTCTGGCTCTGTTAAATCTTCCCCCATCAATACACTTTGCTAGAATATGCAATGAAGTTTTCTTTCTTTAAAATAATGTGAGAGTGAGATGAAATAGGTAAAGATAGGTAAAGAGGGAAGGTTTTGTTGTTTTCAAATATCCCTGACAATTTAACATTATGATTTTAGGGCAAAATTTTAACCATAGTCACCTTTCATTCTTGCTGCAGTTTGAGCCTGAAAGATTATATGCAGAGGATATACGATTATTGTTTCATAAAATATTCATGCAGTAGAAAGACATTTACCAGTTGAAAACCTTTGTGTAACATAGAAACGTACCAAAGGATGAATTCTTATGTAGAGTCAGATGTTGGGTCAGTAATGAATTGTTTTATTAAAAGAGTTGTTATGGACATGAGCAAGTTCACATTTCCCTGAAGATTTCCTGCTTGGTCAAGGTATGAGCAGCACAAAATATTCTGTGTTGCGAGTTGCAAGGTCTAAATACCTATGTAGCAAAATTTGCATATATCAAGAAAGAAATGAGAGGTGCTGTCATTTGGGGACTTCCAAGGGGAGACAATTACTTAAGAATAGGTATTACTTTTCTTGAAATAAAAGATGATGATAGATACTTTTCACCCAAATAAAGGGATCATTTCCAGTTTAAAGTCACCCAAATGGATGATTGGAGACCTAAGTAAGGACAAGATCAACTGTCAACATCTGATGATGGTTTTCACAGTTACGAAAAACAGTAAATGCATTCCCATGGGAGAAGTTTCTCTACCCTGAAGACTAATTCTTTCATTCTCCCTTCCCCTTTCTCATTCTTCCTCCTTCTGCTTATGTTTAGTTTTCCTTTTTAAAATGTGAA